AGATGTAGAATTTCCCACACTGTAATATTAAGAATTATACCTTGATCCAGCTGAGAAAGGAATAAAGGCGTGAGAACTTCGGCCAGAGGAATTCTCTGGGGAAAATCTCAAGGGATCAAAAACCTGAAAGCAGAAAATGTGTGTCAATATACATTTATTTCCATAAACATAATATATCTAAGTCACAACAATAGAAGAACACAGTCTGCTGAACATAATACTACACAAACATTAGATGTTGCCATGGTTTAATTGCACATGACATGTAAACATTCACAGTGCAGGGAGGAAAAAGTATGTGAACCTTTGGACTTAATAACTGGTTGACCCTCCTTTGGCAGCAATAACCTCAACCAAACGTTTCCTGTAGTTGCAGATCAGACCTGCACAACAATCTGGAGTAATTTTGGACCACTCCTCTTCACAAAACTGTTTCAGTGTAGCAATATTCTTGGGATGTCTGGTGTGAATCGCTCTCTTAAGGTCATGCCACAGCATTTCAATCGGGTTGAGGTCAGGACTCTGACTGGGCCACTCCAGACTTTGGCACAATAGGGAAAAGGCCTCCTCAGCAGAGTGAATTTATGATGATGGTGATACAGCGGTGGTTTGGCCTGTGGACTGACTATCCTGCTATCAGTTCTGATGATAAGGCTGTGTTAAGTGTAGTCAGACAATAGCGGCTAAAGGAATTAGGTTGCAACTGCTAATAATTATGTGCAATGTCTGTAACTATGTGCAGGAAAATAGCAAAGGTGGAGCAGATGTCAGGGTTCCTGGTCCTTGATAATGCTTGGGACTCTCTCACCCAAGGGATGTCATCTGGCGAATTCGGGCGGTCTGTCTCTCTCCTTCGATAAGGCCTCCATAGTCTCCGTTCCCACCTGCAGTGTTCTGCCCGGTCACCTGCTAGCAGATTAGCTTTCTCTGTGATGCGGCAAGGTTAGCGATCAGCAGACTCTCCTTAACTCCTCTCTTTTTCTCTTCCCATGGCCTGGTCTGATCCTCCCACAGTCAGTGCACTCCTCTCCAGATCTCTCCCCTGTCACTTCCTGTCTCATCTCATAGGATTTCATATATATACGCCTCCGCCCACACACCACACTCCTCTTGGAAATGTAGTTCTTTACTACACTGTTCCTTAGCAAAGTCCTGCAATTCAGAATACAAGTTCCATTGGGCTGTTTTACAGAGTGTGAATGCCACTGTTCTGCAGGACACTGCCATCTTGTGTTTGATTTAAAATCCTGCATCCACTTGTAGCAGGGAGTTACATATATAAATAAAAATATACAGTATATACACATACTCATACAATAGGGTTTCTAGCTCTCCCCCAACTGTGTCTGTCTGCCTCATATTGGTTCTATATGTTTATTAAAACATGCATTGAATAATTAAGTATTTGTCACTTTGCACAGTAGAGTAAGGAGTGGCCAGAGACAGTTCACTTTAGGGCAGTTGGCCAGAATGAACATGTATTGCAATGTATGCGAACAATGAATTCCTCTTTTAATGCAATAGTTTGCTAGAAACACTGTAAGTGATGATGTATATCAGAATATTCAGGGAAAACAGAGAAAGAAAAGAGATGCTAAGAGGGAACATATCTTAGATTTTAAAAGTTTGAAACAGCTGACCGATGCACCTCATTGTAAAGAAATGTGTTTCGTAAATAGGGTACAGAGCCAGTGTGCGATATCCTGACAAGTCTTGTATGTAATCAGGCTTTAGTAAGACAGGTCATACACAAAGCAAATTTCTTTCCTGCAACCATAGCCCGCGTTGACAGGGGGAATCCCTCCTGTTGAGCCATTGTGTTCTCCCGGTGGGGGAAGCTGTCCCCACTGGGAGAAGACAGTGATTACTGCTAGTGGCTATCAATCAACTTGGGTACATTCAGCCTGCCCATACATGGTTCAAATTGGCCGACATTCAAACCATCTATGGCTGGCATAAGAGAGCACCATGGCTGTACACAGCATACAATGTAAAGATTGGTGTGCTTCATTGACTGAAGACATGAATTACTCAAATATGATTTTGCGCAGAGCTTTTGCTAAATGAATGTACATATCACTGGGCAAAATAATTAACAATAAAGGGATAGAACAGTTAATGACATGGTACTCCGGTTTTCTCCAACACTCCAAAGACATGCTCGTAGGTCAAATGGCCCCTGTCTAAATTGGCCCTAGTATGTATATGTATGAATGTAAGTTAGGGACCTTAGACTGTATGCCCCTTGAGGGTTAGGGACTGATGTGAATGTACAATATATATGTAAAGTGCTGCGTAAATTGACGGCGCTGTATAAGTACCTGAAATAAATAAATTAATATTATACACAGTAATGTTTCAAAAAGAACAAGCTTACCTCTGGATCATCCCAGATACTGGGGCATCTGTTCATGATATATATACTCATAAAAACAATAGAATCTGCCAGATAAAAAAAGAACCATGATACATTATCTGTACATCTTAGGTAAGTGTCCAAGATTTTATGAGCCATGTTCACACAAAATGCAACTTGGCTTATATTTAAAGTAATCCTGTCACTAAAGGGTCTAAAGTGAAATAACCCCAAACTATGCTTAGCTTTCCAATGACCTGAGTGTTGAAATGTCTGCTGTGTTGCTCCATGTATCAATATTTTTGAGATCTAAGGTCCTGAGGAAATGAGGCAACCCGCAAAACACGTTGGCCTACAGTTGTGACCAAAAATTCAACCCCCACTGAAATTGAGTGTTTTGGCCAGTTTACATTGCTTTTGATCATTCAGTCATCTTGCTTACATTTACATTAAAGAGGCACTTGTAGGTCAGACAAATATAACATAACAGTTATAATGAAATAACCACAAATGTCTTTTCTGTGCTCACAGCATTATCAGTTTTATTCAACCCCCAAGTGACATTCAATCTTAGTACTTAGTACAGCATCCTTTTACAGTTATAACAGCTTTTAAACGTGAAGCATAGCTTGACACAAGTGTTTGCAGCGATCTACGGGTATCTTCGCCCATTCTTCATGGGCAAAGGCCTCCAGTTCAGTCACATTCTTATTGGCACTGGGACAAACAACTGCTTTCTTTAAGTCCCACCAGAGGTTCTCAATCGGATTTAAGTCTGGTGACTGCGATGGCCATTCCAAAATGTTCCAGCCTTTCCTCTGCAACCATGCTCTAGTGGACTTGGAGGTATGCTTGGGATCATTTGTCCTGTTGAAAGGTCCAACGTCTCCCAAGCCTCAGGTGTGTGACGGACTGCATCACGTTTCCATCCAATATCTCCTGGTACTGAAGAGAATTCATGGTACCTTGCACACGCTGAAGCTTCCCTGTACCTGCAGAAGCAAAACAGCCCCAAAGCATGATTGACCCTCCACCATGCTTCACAGTAGGCAAGGTGTTCTTTTCATCATAGGCCTTGTTCTTCCTCCTCCAAACATAGCGTTGATCCATGGGCCCAAACAGTTCTAATTTTGTTTCATCAGTCCACAGAACACTATCCCACAACTTTTGTGGTTTGTCCACATGGCTTTTGGCATACTGCAGTCGACTCTTCTTATTCTTTGGAGACAGCAAGGGGGTACGCCTGGGAGTTGTGGCACGGAGGCCTTCATTACGCAGTGTGCGTCTTATTGTCTGGGCTGAAACTTCTGTACCCACATCTGACAAATCTTTTCTCAGTTCCTCAGCAGTCACACGGGGACTTCTCTCCACTCTACGCTTCAGGTAGCGCACAGCAGTCGAAGTCAGCATCTTCTTTCTTTCTGCCACGACCAGGTAGCGTTTCAACAGTGCCCTTTGCCTTGAATTTGCGAATGATGCTTCCTAAGGTGTCTCTTGGTATGTTTAACATCTTTGCAATCTTCTTATAGCCATTGCCCTTCCTGTGAAGAGAAATCACCTCTTCTCTTGTCTTCCTGGACCATTCTCTTGCCTTCACCATGTTTGTAACCACACCAGTAAATGTCTAGAAGGAGCTGAGTATCACAGTCATTTTAAAGCTGCCTAATTGGTGCTTATTATGCTTGATTGCTGCTCGGTGACATCCACAGGTGTTTTCAATACCTGATGGAAAGCACCTGTATGAACCTCTGTTCTTCAGAGTTAGTCTTTAAGGGGTTGAATAATTGTGGCATGAAGAAAACCACATAAGAACCATTTACTACTGTATTACATAAACAATTGATGTCATTTTAGTTGCATTTGGGTAGTTACAACGTCCTTGTAGGATTTGATTCTGAATACAATTCCAAATGTACACTATAGTCCCTAAACCCCTTTACAGCATTGGGGGTTGAATAATTTTGGTCACAACTGTACATTGTTAGATCTCTAAAGGACCACAGTGCTACAGTCCCTCTGTCATTGTAAGTGGGAGACAAGCGACAGAATGAATAAATGTCTTAAATTGAAACTAGGATTTAAATGATTGGAATAAAGTTTTGTAAAACTTTTTTGACAAGTGTATCATGTGCATATTTGACCATTGGAGGGGTATTTAAATTCCCATCATTCTGTGTCTTTTTACTATTACAACTCATATGTCCTGTAGTTTAGGAGGAACTACAGCGCAAGGTGGGAGGAACAGGTACACAAAGCCAGGAGTGTCAGCGGAGTATAACATAGTGTCAAATAACACTAGAACAATTTGGTGTGTTCACTGGCATGATGACATCATAACTTTGTGCCAAGCACATTTTTAAAATGCACCATGGGTAAAAAACCTGTACATGTGCCGAGACCATAATTACGTATTCAGAGAAATACTGGTGTACCGGTGGCCTAGACAAAGGAACACACACTATACACAAGACAGACATTCACATACACACCCTGTACCCCTTAAACAGGCACAGGGTGGGTTAAACATAATGATTTGGGGAGATGATACAGAGGTCCCCCCACCCCCAAAAGTCACTCCCGTCACATACTGCAAATGGCAATGTTAAACTGTAAGCACAGTTTCAGTAAAGTTTAAAATAAAAAATTAAATACTAAGTTTAAAATATACAAAAACGTACAATCTCAATATATGAAGCTTTTGTGATGACTGACCTTTAGGCAGGCTCCGTCCATCAGGGAAGGTAACGGATGAGGTTAGCTGACGGGCTACTCCTGGCACTGGTGGATACAGGCGCATGCTCTCCTTAATACACATGGTGGTGTATGGCATCTTACCCAGATCCTCCCTAATCACACACAAAAGTGAAATATAATGAAAGCCAAGATCTGAGCATTAAAAAAAATGTCTTGGGGTTTAAAAAAAAAAAAAGGCCAGTGTTGTTCCCTGCAGTAATCTCTTATTGCAACTTGTGCTCAGTATTCCGGGTTGAATGACATCCAAATGACATCCAAAAGAGTAAAGTCATCTCATAAGTGCAAGCCTTTGTGGACCCATCCACTGAGAAGGCATCACCACGTCATTCATATAATGTGATGCTGAGAGCAGCACTGACATGAAAACCCTGAATTATTGAGGATTGCCCTTCACTGGAGAAGATCCACAAAGCTGGCCATACATGGATCAAAATTTGGCTCAGCAGGGACTGTCTGAATTTCGTTCCTTATATGGACAAACTCTGTTTGGTTTATTCCCGCTTGATCAGTGCCAGCTGCACTGGTCAGTGTATTCTGCAGGTGGGGAAGTCTCCCCACTGTTGGAATACAATATTTCAATGGGAAGGATGCCCCATCCACATTGAAATGTCCGGATGGGGGAATCGGGACGTTTTTTCTATTCAACCCACTGGTGGAATGAAAAAAAAAAATGAATAATGTATGGGCTGTCTTAGGGGACCCTGCATGTCACGGGACTGGCCTGAAGAATTAGGTAATATAACTATAAAGTAAAAAAAAAAAACCCCGAAAAGAAGCAAAAAAATGCCTGGGGGTTGTGATTGGAGGGAACCCAGAGCTGTGTTTTTGTTGTTTATAGCCCAAGCATTTTGGAACTGTTTGATGATGCCGTACCCATTTACAAACTAAAGGCTCCTTTGGGATAGTCTAAACAATTACTAAGTTTAGTTATTATGTGATCCACAAGCCTCAAAGTAAGAAAAAAAACAAACAGAAAACTTGATTTATCTTCACTAACCGATCCAAACCTTCCTTCATCTATGTCTCACATCTCCCTCCTTCCAGGTCCTGCAGGTCACAGTGGAAGGGTATCAGCAAGAGAGGCAATGCTGTCAAACCAGCTGGCAGGACTAGGTGTGGTAAGGTGCTGACTGACAAGCTACAGGAAATGCTTATACCCCCACCCCCTGCAACATGAGAGAAGTGCAGCATCATTTGCCCCAACATCAAAGTAAGCTGCAGTAGGTGCACTTTACTAGCAGAAACAGACATTTGTGAGACTTTACAGGGGGGGCTAAGCAAAAACTATGAGTACTGATGCACGTATTAGTAAATATTGCAGCACGTAGAGGACAGGGGTCACCGCTGGAAGGAGAGAGGGTATGGGTCACCCTGGAAGGAGAGAGGGCAGAGTTCACCAATCACAGGAGCGAGGACAGGGGTCACCACTTGAAGGATAGAGGATGTAAGGGACGATTGAGCACAGCGTCAGGTGTGGAGGGGGATTGTGACTCATGGGTTGGAAGCTTTGAGGAGGGGGGCATAGCCCACCCCAGCACTCCCCTAGATCAGACCATAAAGCACATGCTCACAGTATCAACTGTAAAAATGTTGCCCTTTAAGACAGGTTTTCAACACTGACTGCCACTCCAGACAGGGTTAACAGAGTTAAAAATACAATAATTGTTCAAAAAACAAGAATTCTATTAGTTCCAGTAAAGTGCATTAGAGATAAAGCTGAAAGATTTTAAAATATAGTTTAATGAAATTGAAGGAAGCATGGTACAAGCAAAGTATTTACAGAAAAAGATATTCCAAAATGAACAGTAATAGCAACAGCAAAATAAATGGAATAATAACTGCCACCTAAACTATTTTACAACGTGCCATAAAGCCTCTGCTGGTGGATTTAATTACCTGTGCCTAGACTGTGTCAAAGATGCCAATTTACTGAAATGATACGAACAAATTTTTGGGTTTCAGTGTTCTTTCTAAGTGCTAATAATGACTATAGGTTCCTGCTGAAAGCCTTAAAAGGTAATGTAAAAAGTAATTTGAAGTACAATGGAAGGTTTACACTAACTGTGACCTGGGATGGAGGAAGGTAAAGAAAAAAAAAGGTTTTCAAAAATATCACTGCTTGGGTTTGCAAATTTCCAAACAAAAAATGTTGTATTGTGTTTCTTAATCCAATTTGGAGTTCCTTAGAACTGATCTTCACAATTGTATGTAGGGATCTGCTGCCCTGTAAGGTATGTAGGTGGCTCTTCTGCTTACTGTTCACAGAGATTATTTATGTACATTATGTCCTGTCTATGTGTGTCTGGGTCAGAAACCACAGAAGGAGGAAATGGAGATGGAGAACTGAGCCACATGACCACAGGAGCTGCCACTGCTACTATATTTTCACCCATACCAGAAGCAGAGACTATTAGACAACTATTCTAAGTTCTAGTAGATGCAGTTGCCCATAGCTTTTTGACTTATCTCGGTCCTATTGTTTTTATCTCACATGTACAGTGCCAGATAGCTAGGTCTGTGCTACTGTATGTGTGTTGTGGTCACCATCCAGTGTAGGTGAACCTGTTTATTGCAAATTGTGCAGCTCTTGTCATTTTAGTTAGCCCTGTCTCTTCTGGTCTGGAATTCTATAGCTAGTTTTAGCCAAGTTGGGCATCCAACGGCCACTTCTAGCAGTTAGAAGCCTGGTTGCATGCCAGATTAGAAACTACTAGAGAGGGACTGAAGCACAGGAAGGCGGTATCTCTAATTATAACTATACATGTTTGGGTATATGTGCACAAGTCCACCTGAACTCATTGCCCCCCTTGCTGATGATACCCGTTTGTACATTGGATGTATGTACTTAATCTTATCTTTTCTTAAAGTGTTACTAAACCCAGGACCCTGCATTCACTATATCCGGTCTCCCTGGACCCTGCATTCACTATATCCGGTCTCCCTGGACCCTGCATTCACTATATCCGGTCCCCGGACCCTGCATTCACTATATCTGCTCTCCCACAGTACACAGAACATGGAAATGCAATTATTTTAGTAAATATAAACTGCTAAATACCTTTTCTCATCAGCAGTTAGAGCAGTCTTGTGACTTCTATCAGTGTCCAGCAGAGAACTTTTTAAAGGTTGTAGGAGGAGTTTTCATTCTCCTCTGACTGTCCAATGAGGCTTCAGGACTCCTAACCCTCTGTCTGGACAGCACTGATTGGCCCTGTGCTGATCACATGCACTCTCCCAAGAAAAACAAAAAAACTCTCTCGCTATACACACCATAGTGACTATGTGCAACTTGCCCCCAAGGCTCTGTTCTATCAGGAGATGGATTAGGGGACAGCAGAAGAGGGGATGGATCAGAGAAGACAGGATCAAACAGCCTTTATACACAATGCAGAGGATTAACCTCATAGGTTCCACAGTGAGTATAACAAGCATGTTTTACTGCATATAGAGACTGATTTTACTGTTGTGGGTTTAGTAACACTTTAAAGCTTGGATTATTTCCATACTGACATGGGTATGGCTAATGCTATATGCTGGTTGGAGTAGTTCTTTTGCTCCCAATTACTTTGATTAGTTTAGTGGTTAATTTCCCAGGAAGGGAATCCTGGTAATCCTATTGACTGACAATTTATATTACTAGAGGCACAGTAGCACAGTCCATCTAAAGCTGATATTAATATTGTGCATGGACTCCTTATGAAATACTAGTTGTAAGTCTCCCATCACAAAAGGAACACAATCACATTCTTTCTGCTGCATTCCCTGTGGTGAGTCAAAAAACACAAGAGTGGGAATTTCTCTGGGAAGTTCTTTTCCACAAGAGATACAGTTGTGCTCAAACGTTTGGATACCCTGGTAGAAATTGTGACATTTGGGCATTGATATTAAAAATATGGCTGATCGTGTCAAACAGCTGTCTTTTATTTAGGTATTGGTGATCATATGAAATGTATTATCACATAGTTATTTGGCTCCTTTTGAAATCATAATTATAACAGAAATCACCCAAATGGCCCCGATGAAAAGTTTACATACCCTGGAATGTTTGGCCATGGTACAGATACACAAGGTGACACACACAAGTTAAAATGGCAATTAAAGGTTAATTCCCCACATCTGTGGCTTTTTAAATTGCAATTAGTGTTTGTGTATAAAATAGTGAGTTTGTTAGCTCTCACGTGGATGCACTGACCAGGCTAGATACTGAGCAGAAAAGAACTGTCAAAAGACCTGTGTAACAAGGTAACGGAACTTTAAAAAGATGGAAAAGGAAATAAAAAGATATCCAAAAACCAAAGACCCGAAGGAGGGGGGACCCCATGCCGTTTTTGAAAAAAAAGTTTTTAATTAACAAGCAATGCCGACAATTCTTTTGACATTCATCTGTGCAGGGAACCCTGCTGACAGCTGAAACATTAAAGAATGTTTTGCTACTAAAATACCACATAACTTAATAATATAACTAATGCAGCACTCGGTGCACTTACTTGGTAAGATACCTCTCAGTAAATTGTCCTTGTTCGAAGTTTGCAGTCAAACTTTTAGTAAGTTCAAATGTTCCACTGCGAACTGAACAGGGGGGTGTTTGGCCTTCACTAATATAAGGTGTATCCCAGACATTGAGATAACATGTTCTTACCATTCCAAGGTGTTCCGACCTCCCAGAAGCGCTCTGATCTCTTCCCGACATTTGTCCTGGTGTTCAGGGTATATAGCCATACAGTATAGTGTCCAGGAGACCCCACTCGCTGTTGTATCATGTCCCTCAAACATGAATGTGTCCACCTCTGCACGCAAGTCCTCATCTGACAGAACCTGACCATTTTCATCCTGATAGTTAAAAAAAAATAACATATTAGCAAACCTTCCAACATATGGGTGGCACAGTGGCTTAATGGTGAGCATGTCTGCCTTGCAGTAAATGGGTCATGGGTTTGGTTCCTGACCATGGCACCTCCTGCATGGAGTTTGCATGTTCTCCCTGTGCTTGTGTGGGTTTCCTCCGGGTACTCCGGTTTCCTCCCACAGTCCAAAGACATGCTGGTAGGTGAATTTGATTCCTGTCCAAATTGGACCTAGTATGTGTATATAT